ATAGCAGGCGTGGCATTTTCTCGACACCAGAGGGGGTGCGCAGGGGGTGGTCTCCCTATGCTTGCCAGGGTCGTCCAGGCATAGCAGGCGTGGCACTTTCTCGACACCAGAGGGGGTGCGCAGGGGGTGGTCTCCCTATGCGTGCCAGGGTCGTCCAGGCATTGCAGGCGTGGCATTTTCCCAACACCAGAGGGGGTGCGCAGGGGGTGGTCTCCCTATGCGTGCCAGGGTCGTCCAGGCATTGCAGGCGTGGCATTTTCTCGACACCAGAGGGGGTGCGCAGGGGGTGGTCTCCCTATGCGTGCCAGGGTCGTCCAGGCATAGCCTGTAGTGCGGGATTGCGTATTACCTCTCGTATCCAACTGCCAGGCGACCGTCACAGATGGCTCCTCAACCCCTCCTCTCCCCCCACACGTCCTCCCCCTCCTTTCAACGACCACAGGGGGCACCTGAGAGCATGACGGCGGTGGTACTGGTAGCGCGGCTCACACAAGACATAAAATCAGTATGTGGGGTTCCTCGGAAGCGTAATTAACATATCCGCCTCTTCGTCTTTCACACCTTTCAAGGCGGTCCAAGAGGCCCCAAAGATCACCCCAACACGGCCCGAGACACCCTCTAGACAGCTCAAAAACGGCCCAAGAGCGCTCCAAGAAGGCCCAAAAAACCCTCAAGAACTCTTTTTCGGAGCCCAGGAGGGCTCCAAATCGATCCAAGAGGGGCCCGAGAAGCCCTCCAGACGGTCCAAGAGAGCCGGGAGACGCCGACATACCATCCCCAAGCGCCTACGATGGCCTCAAGACGGCCCAACAGGCCTACAAAACGCCCCACGAGGTCCCTAAACGGCGTCCCAACAGGGCTCCCACAAGCAAAAATCGCTTCATCCCCTTGGAAAAATGTACATGTTTTACATATCCGCCTTTTCGTCTTTCACACCTTTCAAAGCGGTCCAAGAGGCCCCCAAGATCACCCCAAGACGGCCCGAGTGACCCTCCAGACCGCTCAAAGACGGCCCAAGAGCGCTGCAAAAAGGCCCAAGAAACCATCAAGACGGTCCAAGAGGCCCCAAGACGGCCCCATGATTGAGGTCCACAGGGGCAACCTGAACGGAAATTTTGAGCCCCCCGCCCAAACACGCCCCCGAAAGGCCCCTACAAGCCCCCAGGTAGCCCCACGAAGCCCCCAAGAGAGCCCCAAGGGGCCCCCAACAGGCTGCAAGAAAACCCCAAGAGGCCCCCAAGAGACCCCCAGGAAGCTCCCAGGAGGCCCCCAAGAGGCCAGGCAGACCCGCCCAAGAGACCACGGCCGGGGGAGATCTCTCACCGCGGCTGCTACTCGTGACGGTCGTCTAGGGCACAGCAGGCATGGCATATTCTCGACACCATAAAGGGGGTGCGCATTGGGTGGTCTCTCACCGCGGCCGCTATGCACGACGGTCGTCCAGGCACAGCATGCGTGGCACACTCTCGACACCACAAGGGGGTGCGCAGGGGGTGGTCTCCCACCGCGGCCGCTATGCACGACGGTCGTCCAGGCACAGCATGCGTGGCACACTGTCGACACCACAGGGGGTGCGCAGGGGGTGGTCTCTCACCGCGGCCGCTATGCACGACGGTCGTCCAGGCACAACAGGCGTGGCACTTTCTCGACACCATAAAGGGGGTGCGCATTGGGTGGTCTCTCACCGCGGCCGCTATGCACGACGGTCGTCCAGGCACAGCAGGCGTGGCACATTCTCGACACTACAGGGGGTGCGCAGGGGGTGGTCTCCCACCGCGGCCGCTACGCACGACGGTCGTCCAGGCACAGCTGGCGTGGCACATTCTCGACACCACAGGGGGTGCGCAGGGGGTGGTCTCTCACCGCGGCCGCTATGCACGACGGTCGTCCAGGCACAGCAGGCGTGGCACATTCTCGACACTACAGGGCGTGCGCAGGGGGTGGTCTCTCACCGCGGCCGCTATGCACGACGGTCGTCCAGACACAACAGGCGCGGCACACTCTCGACACCACAGGGTGGTCCCCCACCGCGGCCGCTATGCACGAAGGTCGTCCAGGCACGGCAGGCGTGGCACATTCGCGACACCACGGGGGGTGCGCAGGGGGTGGTCTCTCACCGCGGCTGCTACGCACGACGGTCGTCCAGGCACAGCAAGCGTGGAACATTCTCGACACCACAGGGGCTGTGCAGGGGGTGGTCTCTCACCGCGGCCGCTATGCACGACGGTCGTCCAGGCACAGCAGGCGTGGCACATTCTCGACACCACAGGGGCTGTGCAGGGGGTGGTTTTTCACCGCGTCCGCTATGCACGACGGTCGTCCAGGCACAGCATGCGTGGCACTATCTCGACACACAGGGGGTATTGCGCAGGGGGTGGTCTCTCACCTCGGCCGCTATGCACGGACGGTCGTCAGGCACAGGCAAACGTGGCACTGTCTCGACACCCACAGGGGTGCGCAGGGGGTGGTCTCCCAACCGCGGCCGCTAGCACGACGGTTTTCGTCCAGGCACAGCAGGCGTGGCACACTCTCGACACCACAAGGGGGTGCAGCAGTGGGGTGGTCTATCACCGCGTCCGCTCATGCACGACGGTCGGCCAGGCACAAGCTAGGCGCATGGCCCACATTCTCGACACCCACATGGGGGTGCGCAGGGGGTGGTCTCTATGCACGACGGTCGTTCAGGCACAGCAGGCGTGGCACTCTCTCGACGCCACTGGGGGTGCGCAGGGGGTGGTCTCTCACCGCGGCCGCTATGCACGACGGTCGTCCCGGCACAGCAGGCGTGGCACTTTCTCGACACCACAGGGGGTGCGCAGGGGGTGGTCTCTCACTGAGGTCGCTATGCACGACGGTCGTCCAGGCACAGCAGGCGTGGCACTTTTCTCGACGGCATAAAGGGTGCGCAGGGGGTGGTCTCTCACCGCGGCCGCTATGCACGACGGCCGTCCAGGCACAGCAGGCGTGGCACTTTCTCGACACCACAGGGGGTGCGCAGGGGGGGGTCTCTCACCGCGGCCGCTATGCACGACGGTCGTCCAGGCACAGCAGGCGTGGCACTTTCTCGACACCACAGGGGGTGCGCAGGGGGTGGTCTCTCACTGAGGTCGCTACTCACGACGGTCGTCCAGGCACAGCAGGCGTGGCACTTTTCTCGGCGGCATAAAGGGTACGCAGGGGGGTCGGTCTCCCAGGGCCCAGCGCGCGCGTGCCTTTTTCGAAGCTGCAGGGGCACGCAAGCGGGGGGGGGACGCTGTAGCATCACCATCATCATCATCATCATCATCATCATCATCATCATCATCATCATCATCATCATCATCATCACCATCATCATCATCATCATCATCATCACCATCATCATCATCATCATCATCATCAAGAATTGTAGCCACCCTGGCCCATGCGGGCTCAGACTGCTCGATATGTGAGCGCGGACGACTGCCGGTGACTCTCCGTCAAAGGTACGGCTACCGTCATGGCGCCCAAATGCGCCGAGGGCCTCACAGGACATTCTCATCACTCCAGCCATAATATAAGTATGTGGGGTTCCTCGGTAGCGTAATGCTTGCATTCCTAATGGCACGATCCACGTACGGTAAGAAGTCCTGATATGAGAAATAGTGAGGCACCTTTTTCGTCTATATTTGAGGGTCCTAAACTGTCCCACCAGAGTTTCTGTGGGTCCCTGGGGCCATATGGGGGTAAGAAAATCCCACCAGCCCTCTGGGCGTCGGTGGTTTAGGGAATTTCCTCTTCCACCCCTCCTTCTTCCCCTTCGGGGAGGAGTTTACCCCTCCCCTTACCCCCTCCCCTGGACCTGGACGGGGGGGGTCGCGAGGTGTCAGGACGTCCAACACGACCTCGGTGAGGAAGCCAAAATCATTGGTTTTACTAAGCTGTTGGCCCTATTTTGGCCTCTGGGGGGGGGGGCTGTAATTAGTAACACCCCCTCCTGTGATCGATCTCACCCAAGATGGCCCAAAGATGGCCCCCAAGGCTCCCAAGGGTGCCCCGAGAGGGCCCCAAGAGGTGGCCAGGAAGCCCCAAGAGGCCCCCAGGATGCCCCCAAGAGGCTCCCAAGAGACCCCCAAGAGGCTCCAAGAGACCCCCAGAGGCACCCAAGATGCTCCAAGAGGCCTCGGCGAGAATGCCAAATCATTGATTTCACTAAGGTTTTAGCCACATGTTGGCCTCTAGGGGGGGGCACTGATTAAGATGACTCCAAACGCGCCTGGGAGAGCCCAAGATTTCCTCCAAGATGGCTCAAGAGATCTCCAAGATGGCTCAGAACAGCTGTTTGGGGATGGGCTGGTGGGGATTCGCGAAGCGTCAACAATTCAGCGGGGCACTTACTGGCAAGCAGATGTTGTAGTTGGTGTGCCTACTGTACGCGCCAGGGATGCAAGACAGGTCCTTGTCAAAACGGGGCCTTCGCCAGAAGGGCAGGCACGCCCAACTGTGCTGGTATTACAAGAGGGCCCTTCTTGAGGTGAAAAAGGAAAGCTCGTAGGGACGTGTGAGGACGCACGCGGGAGGTGAGGGTACATTGTAGCATCGCTAGTGCATATTTGGTCTAATGTGGTCCTCCTCCTGGCCTTTTCGCCCCCCCCCTCCTCTCCCCCCGCTTGTCGCCACGGCTGGACGCGGCCCAGAAGGAATACCAAGGGGGAAGGTTTGAAGCGATCTTCGCCAGTGAAGGTGAAATGAAATTGCTCTTCCTTGACGCTCGTGTCATGAACAAAAATGAGGAGGGGTGTGTCCGCCTCTTTTCGGAACCTGCACCCTCACTGATGGATTCAGCTCGAGGCGTGCCGCATACACATTAAGTCGAGAGCTCCAGCCGTAATTTTGTCGCGAGTCGTTTTACTTTTACTGCGGCGGCAAAAGTATGGGTGCTCCATCCTATCTCATCCGTAGAATATTCTCCACGTAATGTTGTTTCGATGGAAGCGGGACTGAAAACATCCGACTGCGAGGGGGATGCTACGGTGCCAGGATCAATCTGCGTCTGCGCTGGGCTGGCAAACGGAAACGGCCCCGAGGCACTTTGCTCCAGGCTGGCATGGAGCAGCCGCCCGATAGGAGTAGCACCTCTCTCCGATGGAGATACCACATACGCCATTGGCAGAGCCCTGGTAGCTAACCTCAGGAGCAACACCTTCTTCTCCGGCAGAAGCGCGCTGCGAGGGGTCGTAGCAGCGCATGGAATTGCCGAACATGTCCATAGGACAATCGCCCTTACGGCCTCCGCCTGACACACGGCGGCAATTGGTTCCGTTATTGAAAAATGGCACTTGGCATTTCTTGCTCAAAACAGACCGTTCATGTCCGAATAGTGCACTTGTCGCCTTGTACAGATGGCGCCGCCACCAGCTTTCCTCCCGAGTGGCAGAAAACGAAATCGCGGGGTGCCTTCCTTTGTCCTCCGCGCTGGAGAAGAGAGGCAGGTCGAGGTACCGCATTGCCTCGGAGCTGAACTTGTTGCAGTTGTGGTGCAGCAGAGAATACGTGCCCGGATTGAAGTCGAGACGGTGGTGCAGCTTGGAGCTGAAGCACTGCGAAAGCTCCTGCTCGACAGACGAAGCCCCGGCACCCACAGCACTCCAGCTGTGTGCTGCAGAGGGCGGGATTGCGTTGCTACTCGTCAGCCAGTACATCCACGGATACCCCAAGCCCTTCCGATGACCATGTTCCCACCAAAACTCCTGGGAGAACAAAAAACGTGCATCTGCCCATACTCTCCCTGCCGCCCCTTACCGTGATTACTCATCCCGGGAACGGGAAGGGGGGGAAGGGCAGCGGTGCATGTGTGGGATATGCGAGCGGGTAAATACACATACCTATATATATATATTTATAACATATATGTGTGTGTATGTAAATATGTATGTATGTCCATACACACGCACACATATATATATATATACACACACATGTTTACAGATCTGCTCATACGCCCCTCTACGAGGAAGAAGAGCCCAGAGGCGATTATTGATAGCACCGTGCGCGCATATTCTGGCCGTTTTGCTCGGGATGCCCTCGTACGAATGAAACTTGGACGCACACCTTAAGAAGATCACGACGTCAGGTTTCCCAACAAAAACACTGGATCTCCAAACGTTGACCACACAGCCTGCAGCAGCACAACGGATACCACTGATGTCGCACACCACTGTAGGCAAACCATTGGTTGTTCAATGGCTTCCAGTCTAGTTCGTCAGCAATTTAAAAAAAATGCAAATACAGTGGATTTCGATGATTGTCCTAACACCTGATATAATTGCACATGTTTTCGTTGGCTCCCAGTGTAGCTCTCCAACGTCGCTCTGCCCTGTGTTTTTCAAGCCGACAAGGGTGCTTCTCAACATTTCGTCGGATCACCAGCTGTGACAGCCCCATCGGTAGCTCCCCATTGCTTTTCGGGGGGCACGGGCATGCAGGTGCCACTGGTATGTAAATGGTCATACAAAAACCTCTCTCTCGATGTATATATATATGTGTGTATGCACGACGTACAGCACATGTCATAAATATGTGTACGAACATGTGAACATATATATATATATGTACATACATACGTACATACAGGTATACACACATACAAATATACACACAAACAAACATACAGACATACATGCATGCATATATACATTCATACATACGTGTATGCAATGTCAGCAACGTTGCGACCGGCTGGGTCTGACATCTCGAAGATCACGAAGCCGGGCCGCAGCTGCCGCCAGCGCCCGCGTGGCAGACTCGGGCGGCGCCTGGGGTGCGCCAGCGCCGACCTCTGCGCCAACCGCCTGCTCCCTGGCGCCTTCGGCGCGGCACCCGCGGGCCAGGCCGCCCTCGCCTCGCCGGCCATCCGCCGGCCCCCGCCGAGGGCAGACCCATATAAGGAGCCAGAGATCCGAGGATATGATTTGTTCCATGTGTGCGATCCGAGGTGCAGTGGTAATGTATATGCACTGGTAATGTATATCATCCGAGGTGCACTGGTAACGTATATGATCCGAGGTGCACTGGTGATAAGGAACCGAACTCTATACACCGCCGCTTTTTCCGGCCATGCACTGAAATCTGCACAGGGAAGCGGATCCTGGTGTGTGCGTGATCCTGGTGTATACTGTGTTCGTTGTTGCCCTGGGGGAAGGGGGAAACAAGTATACACCACACCACCCCGGCGTAACTCCCGACCCTTAAAAAGACTGGGGGTTGGAAAACATCCCGCCACTGGTAATGTATATGCTCCAGCTTTCGACCCAGAGATCCAAGGATATGATTGTCTAATCTGGCGAATGTTCCTTGATTTCGGCCTCCGGGGCCCGTTGTTGGGCCCTGGGGCCATCCAAAATGGATCCGGGACGAAAAACTACCCCCCAGGGAAGGGTGCGGGACCCCGGGGGCCGCGGACGGGGGGACGTCCTTGCCGATCCCCTGGTCGGCGACCACCCCGGACCTCCGACGTCGGGATCTATTCGTGACGTGACCCCCCCTCTCGAGCCTCTCGAATCCCGATCCCGAGGACAACTCTCTCATCGCGGGCCGTGTTCTGATGGCCCAGGAGCCCACAGCGGGCTTCCAGATGCCGAGGACTGTGAAACAAGGGCTGCCTCGTGTTTGACACGACGCAAAGAAGGTACTGTTATTCCCAGCGAGTTCCTGCGCCTCCACTCCCTGGGCCCAGCAGCCGGTCTCCCACGGCAGAGGCGACCAGATGCCGCCCCCCCCGTTGCCGTCGAAGATCAGCTCGCGGCAACCTCGGGCGGACATCGAAATGGGGGCGCGCCATCCCAGACATCTGGCGCTGCGAGAAAATCACTGCGTCGTGGATCGAGGACCGTGGGTTCTGAACGTTTTGTGACCCTCTGGGGGCCTCTCGGGGTGCCCTCATGGCCACGGCTATGTCCAGAAGTTCCAAGAGGGTCACCACCTATGGCGAGGGTCGCCACCTCCTTCCGCAGGAGGGGGAGGGCCACCGTGGCGCTCAAGGTGTGATGCGATGTCACTGCTGGTGTGTATGCGCATCTGTGTTTGTATGGTTCGGTGTGTGCATGTGTACGTGTATGCGTGTGTGTACATGCCTATGTGTATGCGTATGCGTCTTGGTGTGCACGTGAACGTTTGGTATGTGTGATATGCGTACACGTGTGTACGTAGGTATGCATGTGCGAGTACGTGTGAGAACTTAGTTTTTTATATTTATATATATATGTGATACACATTCACACATGTACACATTATATAACCATGCGTATCCCTCCCTTACGCTTTCTCGCTCTCTCTCTCTCTCTCTCTCTGTATCTCCCTCATACCCCTCGTTCTGCCCTTCGGAAAATTGCAAGATCCGGGTCGGCGGGCCATTTAACGACAAGAGGCTTGACCGAGATGTGTGCATGTGTTCGTTTATGTGCTCATTTCTCTGCGCTGTGTGTATTGCCGCTGCGTGTGCATATGTGAATGTGCGGTGTTTGTTGCGTGCACGTGTGTGCATGTGTTTGTGGTTGTGATTGTGGTTGTGTTTGATTACGTGTGTAGTTGTGTTCTTTGGACGCCATGTCGCTGCGCGCGGGGCCGCGACGCCAAAAAAGTGGTAGTGCTCGTGGTTGTGTTGTGTTTGCGCACGCGAGTGCTTCGGACGCTCCCCGCGATCTTGTTACAAGGAGGTGGGGCACCTTGAGACTGACGGCCCCCCTTGTAATCTTCCCAACCCCACGCGCGCGCTGTTTGTCTCCTCGTGCTTGCTGCTTGCGCCACAAAGGCGCAAATGAAGTGCGACCGTGTCCATCACCTTATGTCGGCGGTGGACAAACCTCCCTTTAGTAAACCACCCTTCAATGAAAACGGCCCAGGACCGAAACCGACGGACCTGGACCCGCAAGAATGACGGCCGCGACGCCCTCTCGCGAACCGAAAACGGCCAACTCGCTAATCGACGTGTCAAGGTAGGAGGTCTGTCAACCTCCGATCGTGGGGATCACCCCCGGAGCCACCTCTCGCGTCGCAGCGCGGCAGAGTCCGTCCGCACGCGCGCTCTCCTCAGGCCAGGTGGCGGCACTACGAAAAGTGGCCCGAAGGCAAGAGGGATGGGGAAGAGGGGAAGAGGGAGGGGAAGAGGGGAAGAGGGTGGGGAAGAGGGGAGAGGGGAGGGGAAGAGGGGAAGAGGGGAAGAGGGGAAGAGGGGAAGAGGGGAAGAGGGGAAGAGGGGAGAGGGGAGGGGAAGAGGGGAAGCGGGGAAGAGGGGAAGAGCGAGGGGAAGACGGGAAGGGGCGGCACCGGGAGGAGGGTTTTTGTTGTTTCCTGTTCCCATATCCAAAGGATAGGGTTCTTGTGATTACCCTGACCGCGCCGACTCCTTCAGGTCACCTCCTCCCCTCATCCTTCTCTTCCCCATCCCACTCAGAGTATGACGTTGATGGTGTTGATGATGATGGTGATGCTGATGATGATGGTGGTGATGACGATGATGGAAGGTGATGATGCTGATGATGCTGATGATACTGATGATGATGCTGATGATGATGATGAGGAGGAGGAGGAGGAGGACGACCAGACGGGGGCCAGATTGTGAGGATGTCTCGAGCGGCTTGCTGGCTTCAGCCTACTGGGGGGCCGCCAGGAGTATCTCACGGCCTCCGTTCGCGCCCAGATTACGGGGATATCTCGAACAGTTTGCCTGTTTGCATGCCCAATACCCTCCGCTTTCGGAGCAGATTTGGAGGATGTATCGTGCGAGGCGCTGATTTTCGCACCCCAGGGGGCCCAGATTGGGAGGATGTCTCGAACGGTTTGCCTGTTTTGGTGGCCAGACTCGTGGGCACGGATCCTCCTCAGGATGCCACAGGAGGCTCCAGCAGGCTCCAGGAAGACCCAGGAGGCCGCAGGAGGTCCCAGGAGGCATCAGGAGACCACAGAAAACCACAGGAGGCCACACGAGGCCACAGGAGGCACCAGGAGGCTCCAGGAGGCCCTAGGAAGCACCAGGAGGCCACAGGAGGCCACAGGAGGTCACAGGAGGCGACAGGAAGCGACAGGAGGCAACAGGAGGCCCCGGAAGGCTCCAGGAGCCCCCACGAAGCCCCAGGAGCAGGAGGCCTCAGAAGGCCACAGGACTGGCTCCAATCCCAATGTTTTACGCATGTTCCTATCAATTGTCCTTCTCCTGCGTATCCACTCCTAAGTGTTTCACGTATGTTCCTATAGATTGGGCCTGCCCTGGAGCACGAGTCCTTGGTGCTTTACATGTGCTCATGTAGATTGCCCCTCTCCCGTGGCTTCAATCCGAATTGTTTACGTCGGTTCCTATAGATCGAGCCTCTCATGGGGCACGAATCCTCCCCAGGAGGCCTCAGGAGGCTCCAGGAGGCTCCTGGAGGCCCAGGAGGCCACACGAGGCTCCAGGATGCCTCAGGAAGCTACAGGAAGCCCCAAGAGGCCCCAGGAGGAGGCCCCAAAAGGCTCAAGGAGGCACCAGGAAGCCCCAGGAGGTTTCAAGAGGCCCCAGGAGGCCCCAGGCTCATGCGCAGAGGCGCACTAATACTACCGAGACTCATGCACACTCCAACCCATTCACAGTTAGATTCGCCCCGAGACCGTCAATGCTCAAGCCCGCTTTGATTCGAAAACTCTTGCGCCTGGACAATCACGGCGGACAGGCCCATGCATGCACATCTGGGGAGCTCCACGCAGTGATTAATTTTTCGGATACGCTGCCGACTGATCCTGCCCTCTCCGCGCTCATTGCATTCTTCTCCTCCTCCTCCTCCTCTCCTCCTCCTCCTCCTCCTCCTCCTCCTCCTCCTCCTCCTCCTCCTCCTCCTCCTCCTCCTCCTCCTCCTCCTCCTCCCCGTCCTTCTCCTCCTCCTCCTCCTCCTCCTCCTCCTCCTCCTCCCCGTCCCCCTCCTCCTCCTCCCGCGGGGGGCGAGGGGGAGGAAGGGGAAAAAAGGCAAGCGCGCCCACGCGGCGGGGAGCATCCCCAGAGCCGTGCAGGGCGTCCCCGCAGCACCCCAAAAAAATCGCCTCGGCCCTCGGGTCCCCCGCCGCTCTCGCATCTGGAATCCCGCGGGCCGTGGCGGCCCCCTACTCAGTGTTAAGTCGGGCGTGTCCCCCATACAGGCGGATTTTGGACGAATAACGAAAAATGTCAAAAAGCATCCCAACATGCACAGAAAACATAGATCAGCCAGCGTTGACTCCAAATAGATAAGACGATTCAAATCAAGGAATCCCAGGAATCGAGCATGCTTGCAGTCCACAACTCAGCAAGCAAGCAAGCGTGCAAGCAAGCGCGCAAGCAAACGCGCAAGCAAACTCGCAAGCAAGCAAGCAAGCAAGCAAGCAAGCAAATGTGCAAGCAAGCAAGCAAGCAAGCAAGGGTGCAAGCGCGCAAATAAGCAAGCGTGCAAGCGCGCAAGCAAGCGCGCAAGCAAGCGCGCAAGCAAGCAAGCAAGCAAGCAAGCAAGCATACATAAGGGGGGTGCCATTGGAAAAAAGGAGGGATTGGCATAGGCATAGGCACAGCCATCGGAATTAGGTGGGGCATAGGAATTGGGGGGGCAACGGACCAATTAGTAGGTATTGAGCTAGAACTCCAACAGGGCAAGCCTATTTGGAGAATTTTGAGAGAAAAAAACATGCGATGTTTTGACTATTTTTGAATTTTCCTCCTGTAGAAGGACATGCCCGACTTAAACTGGGAGCCGGCGGTAAACCGTCAACCTTGGCTACCGCCGGGAACTCGTAGAGCTTCCTCGTGCAATGCGGGCACGGCAATCTCGCATTGCGCGCGCGAAGGCGCGGTCTCATGGAGGAGGACGTGGAGGAGAAGAAGGTGTGAGGAGAAGGCATCTCTGGAAAAAAATGATAGAGTACGAATACTTTTCTGGTTCCAACTCTGAAAGCGTGACGAGCTCGGGCATCGGGATAATTGAAACTAGCGCATCTGATACATTCCTTGCGATTCTGTGCCAAACAGCCATGTAGCTCGTCTGAAGCTCCAGTTCCCCCAATAAAGTTACCATCTTTTTGTTTAAAAATTAACAGAGTACCAATAGTTTTTCTGACCCAGCTCTGGTAGCAGACCGAATTCAGGCGTCTAGATACTTCAGACAAGCGCTTCTTATCATTTCCTTTCGACTCATATGACAAGCAGCTCTGTAGCCCATCTTCAGCTCGAGTTCAGTCAAGAAAATCATCAACATCTCTAAAAAATATAAGCAGAGTACGAATAGGTTTTCGAACCCAGCTCTGATAGCAGATCGAGTTCAGGCGTCTAGATACTTGAGACTCGCCCGTCTGATAAGTTTCTTCTGCTTGCTGTGTCGAACAAGTATTGAGCTCATCTGCAGCTGAAGTTCAAGAATACCATCACCATCTCTGAAAATAGGCAAAAATACGAATAGGTGTTCGGACCCAGCTATGATAGCAGATCGAGTTCGGGCGCCTAGATACGTTCAGCTAGCGCGCCTGATGATTTCCTTACGATTGCTGTGCCAAAGAGCTCTGTAGCTCGTCTGCAGCTTCAGTTAAGTCAAGAAAACATCAATATCTCTAAAAAATAGCAGAGTAGGAATGGTGTTTCGGACCGAGCTCTGATAGCAAGCCGATTTCAGGCGTCTAGATACTTTAAACTGGCGCGCCTGATAATTTCCTTCCGATTGATGTGCCAAAGGGAGCTGTAGCTCATCTGCAGCTCCAGTTGAGTCAAAAAACGCATCATTATCTCCAAAAAATAATAGAGTACGAATAGCTTCGCGGACCTAGCTCTGGTAGCATACCGAGTTCAGACATCTAGATGCTTGAGACGAACGCGCCTGATGATTCTGGATCGATTAGGTGTGCATACCAGCTCTGTAGCGGTTCTACAGCTCGAGTTAAGTACAGAAAACCGACACCACCTGCCAATATGACACAAAACAGCCGATCCCGCCCCAGTGCTCTTTGGCAGTAATCGGTACCCGATCGACCTGATATTAAGATGGCGAGCGGGAATAAGATCGAAGATGGGTGGAAAAAATACTAGAGCTCGAACGAATGTTCAAATTTCGAGAAGTCGAATTTAAACCGAGCAAAAGTCAGCAAAACTTCCGTCGAGATGTTTTTGCCAACTAGCCCCCCAGCGCGCCGGAATTACTCTTCTAGCTTCGCCGCTAACGCTCTTAGGGAAGCTCTACGAGTCACTTCATGGTGATCCCCCCCCGTGGCGCTGCCAGACGGACACCCAGACATGCGACGCCCCGACTCTTTCAGCACGGGGTCCCTGAAAATCCCGACCCCTTTCCCAGAACAGGCTTCTGATCCTGAGATCGGGCTTTGACGGCCCTGGGGCCCGTGATAGACCCCCAGAGGCCTGGAAGGGCCAGCAAAACCTCCCGTCCTGATTTTGTTCACGACTTGAGCACGTCTGGGTCTGGCTCTCTTCCCTCCGTCGGCGGGCCGTAAGAAGTGGCCCTTCGCCAGAGTGGCCTCTGGTGCGCGGCATCCGGAGGTCGCGAGCAGGGCTGCCCTCGCATCTTCTGCAGGGATCTAGGCCTCCTAGATGGGGTCGGAGTGGATGGGGTCAGAGGATCGGGAGGGACGTAGGGTTATGATGTTCCAACCTACATCAGCCTTGACTGCCAGAAAGAATTTCGAGCGCCGTACCGAAACTGGAGGGCTTTCACGTGCCGGGCCCTGGGAGCCGGCACTCGTTCGACACTGCTTCGATGCTGCTCTGGATGATCGAAGTGATTCCTGGGACGTGGCCCTCAAGGTGCGACGGGAGCCACCTAAAAACGCAGGGATCCGGGACGCGAGCATGCCTGGGGAGGCAGCCCCGGCTGGCATCGACAGGCCCCCGCGGCACCCGAGGCCCCCCCCCCTCCGGGGGGCGCGGAGCAGCCTGGGGATTTCGGTTGGATTTTTCAATGTGTTCTTAAAGAACACATGGTTTCTTTGATTTTTTACTGATTTTCTGGTTGTTCTGGTTTTTCTGTTTTTTCGGATTTTCGGCTCGGGGCTCGACTTCCCTCCCCGCCATACTATGCCATGCTATGCCATTCTATGCCATGCTATGCCAGGCCATGCCACTCAAGCATTTGTAACGCCTTGTAACGCCCACAACATTCACCACCCTATTCCCCCTACCTCCTGGGGAGAGGGGCACGGCTGGCGCCGACCTGGGTCAGCCGCGGGCCACGTCACGGGCCCCAGCCCGGCCGCAGGGAAGCGCCGAAGCGCGGGTCGGCGGCAGGAGCGGCGGCAGCGGGGGCCCCTGGCAAGAGACACCCCGCGTGCCTCCAGGGTGCCCCTGGGCTTCTTGGGCTTCGATGGTTTTGCTGTGGGGAGCGTGGCGTTCCCACACCCAAGAATCGAGGCACGTCCTGGGGTCCCAGGGTTGGGTTTCTTGGGGGAGGTCTCTTGCGGTCGGGCCCTCACTGTACGCGCCAGGGTAGGCCCAGACAAGACGGACCTCTGGCGTGCGGCCTGCCCGGAAGAAGAAAAGCGGCACGAGCATAAAATGTTGGCGCTCCGCGCGGGTTTCTTGGATCTGCGCTGGACCTCCCGGAGCGCGCCAGGGGCGGCGCTGGAGGCGCCGCCAGGGGGGCCCGCGCGGATCCAAGGAATTCGCGCGGAGCGCCAACAGTTTATGTTGATGCGTCTCTGCAGAAGATGCGCGGGCAGCCCCGCTCGCGACCTCAAGATGCCGCGCACCAAAGGCCACTCTGGCGAAGGCCCACGTCTTACAGCTAGCCGACGGAGGGAAGAGAGCCAGACCCAGACATGCTCGCGTCGTGAAAAAATCCGGACGGGAGGTTGTTGGCCGGTTCAAGCTTCTGGGGGCCCGTAGGGGGCCCCAGGGCCGTCAAAAAACTACTAGGGATGAAAAACCGGTTCAAGGGAAAGGGACGGGACTTCCAGGGACCTCGTGCTGAAAAAATCAGGACGTCGCATGTCTGGGTAGTCGGTCCAGCGTGGCCCCCCAACCCCAGTCAGCCACAGGGTATCCAGAGGGGACCGGCGGACCCTCGGTGGCGCTCAGCCCTGCTACCTACGCTCCCGTTGCCTTCGGTTCATAACTCGGGCCTCAAACGGCCTTCACAACGATTCCAGCCTACCCAGAACGCCCTGGACAAGGCAAAACTGATGCAACACAGCCCGCGCCCCGAAAACATGTAAGAACTGCCCCTCCTCCTCCTCCTCCTCCTCCTCCTCCTCCTCCTCCTCCTCCTGCCGCGCCAGGGCTCCTCGCCACGGTGCGCCCCAATCCTTTCCCGACATCAGACACACACGATAAGAGGCCCTGCTGCCAGAATTGTCGGGCCCGATCACCGGCCGCGGAAGCCAAACTCAAGAATTAACAAACAAACAAAAAATAGAAAATCAATCGTACCCTTGGCCATCTGGGAGCCTCCGCCTCGCATTTTTCAAGACGCTGGAGCTCAGCAAGCCAGTCTCTTCGTTGACGTGCCTACTGCACAGTGGAGGCCCGACCACAAGAAACCTTCCACTAGGAACCCAACCCTGAGACCCCAGGACGTCCATGGGTTTTCCCTGGTGTGGGAACGTCGCGCTTTCCACGGAAGAAAGGAAAAGGACGAAAACAACAAACGAAAAAAAAAAAACGATGCCCAAGAAACCCGGGGCAACCTGGGGGCAAGCAGGGTCTTCCGCGGCATGGGCCCCCACTGCATGCCCGGTTCCGCCCGGCCAGCGGGCCATGCTGCTGGAGGAGCACGGGCACCTCGTGGCCCTGCCGGAAGGGCGAGGTGTGGTGGGAGCTGCTGCACCCGGAGGGGTCAGCTCCTGGCAGGCGTAAACACGGAAGGCCCGCACCATGTCGCGTCGTGAAGTTCTACCCCAGAAATGCACCCCAATAGCAGCAAAGGCGACGAGGCCGATCGAGGAGTGGGAGGTCGGCCAATGGAAAAATACTCCCAAGAAACGCACGGTCACGTGCACGTGTTTCCCAACAGTCCTGTGGTGTTGGGTCCTCGTTTTGAGAAGACAGCGCCCCGCGTTCCCTGCTTCCTTCCTTCTTCCTCCTCCGCCTCCTCCCACCCCTCTCACTTTGGCACAGACACGCCCCCCCCCCATCCAGGACAGCGGATCGTGGCCCCATAGGGAGCTCCGCCGAAGATCCCAGTGCTACCGCCCGCATGCGTCCCCCCCACCCAGTACAGCGCTTGATGGCCCCATTGTGAACTCCACCGAAGGCTCAAGTGCTACCGCCCGCATGCGTTCCCCCCACCCAGTGAGGCGTTTCGTGCCCCCACAGGGAGCTCCACCGACGGCCCCAGTGCTACCGCCCGCATGCATCCCCCCCACCCAGTACAGCGTCTCGTGGCCCCATGGGGAGCTCCACCGAAGGCCCCAGTGCTACCGCCCGCATGCGTCCCCCCCACCCAGTACAGCGCCCCGTGGCCCCATAGGAAGCGCCACCGAAGGTCCCAGTGCTACAGCCCGCGTGCGTCCCCCCCCCCACCCTGCACAGCGCTCCGTGGCCCAATGGGGACCTCCACTGGCGGCGCCAGTGGCACCGTCGACATATGCTTACCCCATTCAGTACAACGTTCCGTGGCCCCACAGGGAGCTCCACAGAAGGTCCCAGCGCTACCGCCCGCATGCGTCCCATATACCCAGTACAGCGCTCCGTGGCCCTGGCCCCAGTGGAACTGCCCACATCCGTCCCCTCACCCAGTACAGCGGCGCGTGGCTCCATAGGGAGCTCCACCGACGGCCCCAGTGCCCGCATGCATCCCCCCCACCCAGTGCAGCGCTTCGTGGCCCAAGTAGAGAGCTTCACCGAAGGCCCCAATGTTACCGCCCGCATGCGCCCCCCCACCCAGTACCGCGCTCCGTCGCCCCATGGGGACCTCCACCGGCGGCGCCAGTGGCACCGTCCGCATATATATATATATATATATATATATATATATATAGAACATACATACATACATACATACATACATACATACATACATACATACATACATACATACATACATGCATGCATGCATGCATGCATGCATACATACATACATACATACATACATACATACATACATATATACGTACTTACTTACTTACTTACTTACTTACTTACTTACTTACTTACTTACTTACTTACAGACATACCTACCTACCTACCTACCTACCTACCTACCTACCTACATACATACATACATACATATATATGTGTGTGCTTTCCCCACACCGTACAGCGTTTCGTGGCCCTATACTGAACTACACCGAGGGCTACAGCAGCATTTTAGACATGTGTCTCCCCCACCCGGTGCAACCTTTCGTGGCCCCGTACCGAAGGCCCTAATTGAACCGTCCGCATGCGTCTCCCCCACCCAGTACAGGTTCGCGGCCCAATATGGCAAAGTTCGCCCCTACCCAGTAAAGCGTTTCGTGGCCCATCGGGAGCTCCACTGAAGGCCCCAGTGGCAAAGTTCGCATGCGCCCCCGTCCCCACCAAGTACAGCGATTCGTGGTCATGAGAGGAGGGGAGGAAGGAGGAGGAAGGAGGAGGAAACGCGTGGCGCTGTCTCTTCAAAACGAGGACCCAACACCACAGGATGGTTAGGAAAACGAAAAGAAGTGCAGACGCGCGCGTCGTCGTGCGCGCATGCCGAAATCCATCAAAAAATGTGGGTGGCAAAAGAAATTTCGAATCCAGTGTCCATATATATATATATGTATTTGTGTGTGTGCTCATATTTCCATACATCCATCGATGCATACATACAAACAAGAAAATGGTTTCGCAGCACGGATTCTCAACAAAAAACCTGCGTTTGCTCTATGCTAGCAAACGGGCCTCGCGCGCGAGCATGTCGAAATCTTTCAACCGCCACTGCGCGCGTGCTGGCGCCAGAATCTTGTTGCGAATCAAGGTGACGAAGTGCACGCGCGCGCGTCGTCGCGCGCGCATGCCGAATTCCGTCCAAAAAATGGGTTCGCAAAGACTTCAAAACCGACCGACTGTCGCGAAACCATACCAAAAAATGGTTTCGCAACAGTCGAGGAAGCTTGCGCTCGCGCTGTTGCGAAGCCATTAACAAATCATAGGTAATACTACAGAATATAACTACATAACTATAGTAATAATCATAATAACAATAATCATAATAATCATGATCATGGCCATGATCATGATCATGATCATCATCATCATCATCATCATCATCATCAACATCATCATCATCATCATCATCATCATCATCATCATCATCATCATCATCATCATCATCATCATTGTCATCATCATCATCATCATCATCATCATCATCATCATCATCATCATCATCATCATCATCATCATCATCATCATCATCATCATCATCATCATCATCGTCATCATACAAAAAATGGAAATAGGCCCAACCATATACCGCATGGTGCCACGAAGCGCTGCACTGGGTGAGGGGGGGAACGCATGCGGGCGGTAGCACTGGGGCCGTCGATGGAGCTCCCTATGGGGCCACGAAACACTGTTCTGGGTGGGTGAAAAGAACGCCACATTGGTTGTGTGTGGGACGCATGCGGGCGGTCCCACTTGGGGTTTGGGTGGAGCTCCCTATGGGGCCACAAAACGTTGCGCTGTGCGGGCGGAAATGCCAAATTGAGCTTTCAAGACGCATTCTGACGGTCCCACTGGTGGTTTCGGTGGAGCTCCCTATGGAGCCACGAATCGGTGTACTGGGTGGGTGAAAATGCCAAAGTGGGCTTTCCAGACGTATGCGGACGGTCCCACTAGGGGGTTCCGCGGGGCTCCCTATGGGGCCAGCCACGAAACATTGTACTGGGCAGGTGAAAATGCCAAATTGGGTTTTCGTGACGCATGCGGACGGTCCCACTGGGGGTTTCGGTGTAGTTCCCTGTGGCCACGAAACGCTGCAATGGGTGGGTGGAAATGCAAAACTGGATTTTCGGGGCGCACCCTGACGGTCCCACTTGTGGTTCCGGTGGAGCTCCGTATAGAGCCACGAATCGGTGTACACGGTAGGCGAAAATTCCAAATTGGGTTTTCCAGACGCACGCGGACGGTCCCACTGGGGGTTTCGGTGGGGTTCCCTATGGGGCCACGAAACGCTGTACTGGGCGGGTGAAAATGCCAAATACTATTTTCGGAACGCGCGCGGACGGTCCCATTGGGGCCGTCGGTGGCCCCCCCTGATGTGGCAACGAAACGCTGTACTGGGCGGGGGGACGCATGCGGACGGTAGCACGGGGACCTTCGGCGGAGCCCCATTATGGGGCCACGAAACGCTGTACTGGGTGGAGGGGGGCGCATGCGGACGGTAGCACTGGGTGGGTGAAACGCAGGCTGGATGGAGGGGGCCACGAAACGCTCTACTGGGTGGGGGGGACGCATGCGGACGGTAGTATCGGGACCTTCGGTGGGGGCCCATGTGGCTGTACTGGGTGGGTGAAACGCAGGGCGGAGGGAGGGCCACGAAACGCTGTACTGGGTTGGGAGGGGGGGCGCAAGCGGACGGCAGCACCAGGACCTTCGGTTGGGCTCCCTATGGAGCCACGAAACGCTGTACTGGGTGGGTGAAACGGTGGAAAGAGGGACGACGGGGAGGAGGGGGAGAGAGGAGGGGAGGAGGAGAGGAGAACTAAGGAGCATCGGAGCACCGTCTCTTCAAAACGACGATCCAACACGACAGGATGGTTGGGAATAAATTCTCGAATTCTGCCAAACGAGCCTGTTTCGCGCCGCATGCCGAAATCATTCGAACGCCCTTCCGCGCGTGCTGGGGGGGCACGAGCCGTGTCAAATAACAGCATGCGGGCAACTCTCGTGCGGCGTGCGCGCGCGCATGTCGAACCCCACCCAAAACCTTCATCACCGACGCGAGCACGCTGTCATCGTCGTCGGCCTGATCAGCATCAGCGCCGTCACTGGCCGTGCCGTCGTCGTTGTCCAGATCGTCGCCAGCATCAATGCTATCATCATCGTGTCTACTGTTGTCGACGTTGCCATGATACCGCGCCCGCTCAAGTCTCCGACTCACCCTGGAGTGCCGGCAAGGAAATGCCCACCGCTCAGCGCCACCGCGGCCGCGTCGGTCGCGCCGCACAGATGCACCAGCCAACACCAAGCACTCATCGCAATCGCCGCCGCCCTTGCTTTGCAAGAAAAGTTGCCGGTGGATGGGTGGGATGATTGCGCGATCAGTGGAGCTGACAACTGCGAGTTCCCCAAGTGAGTTCTCCTTTCTGAAAAGAGAATAGACTCTACCCCCGCCCCCCGGCGTGATCCCCCCTTTCGGGCATGTAAATCATGTATGATTCTGACCACGTGTCCATCCTCAACATGAATTTACACTATGCGTGAGGGGCTGGGATCGACCCCTCTGAGGTTCCCTTGTAAAAAAAGATGCGGGGACATCGTTTGTTCTAACATAACACTTGTCCGCGGATCTCTTGGACCAAGAAAACGGAACGAAGTGCACACGCGCGCGCCGTCGCGCGCGCGCATGCCGAAAGCCTCCAAAAACCTTCGGTGCCAGAAGGATTTCGCAATCGAGCTTCCAAAAAAACATACAAAACACAGGGGTTGGCAACACTGATTCGTTAATCTGTTAAACAATTACGCGCGAGTTCTTGCGAAATCTTGAGAAAACCATATGTTTTTCAATATTTTCACAACATGCTACCAAACGGGCTTCGCGCGCGCGCAAGTCGAAATCTGTCGAACGCCCTTG